CTGCTTTGCTCATAGAGCACAGCATCTTTTTTGATGAAGGTACACCATGCTGGGCAGTCCTGTGCCAGTGTCTCCCATGTCATGCAGTCAATTCAAAATTGACTAACTAGGTTTGCACAAAATGGGGAGATGTAGGTGCCAATAGGATCTGATAAGGCTGAGAGCTTGGTAGTCAGGGTAAAGGAGAATGGGCTTTGCTTTGCCAGAGGTGCTGAACAGAGAAGCCGAACAGCTAGGGTGCATCTTAGAGCATCCATAGCAAGTGTCTTCCTGGGCTTGAGCTCTGGTTTCTGGTGAGGTAGCATTTTCCAACAGCTAGGTGGGGAGAATTTAGAGAAAGAAAGTTCATCTCTTAGCAGATTTGCAGTCTGTGATGGCTTCCCATGGGTCTAAAGGGAAAACAGAACTCAGTGACTCTTATTTACTTTAATACCTGGAGGGTCACAGGCATTACACACAGTTTAAAAGGCATCGACTGTGACTGTACAGCAGAAGTCAGGCTGGGCTAAACTGTAAAATCAAAGTTTATCGTTGGTCTCTCCCCACTTGTCTTTTAAACCCTTCTTTTAAACTGGATTCGGGCTCTTTCTATCTGACCCTCAAAGAAAATTGAGTCATTAATCTAAAGCAGGTTGGACAAGAGGTCTGTAAATAGATTTCAAGGGGTCTGTGAACTGATATGGGGAAAAATAACTATTTCAATAGAATTTTCTCTTTGTAATTATATACATATACTTTTAACATATTATATTATATACCTATATTTATTTATATATGTGGTGTGTGTGTGTGTGTGTGTATGTGTGTGTGTATACATACATGTATTTTTTTCTTTCAAAAACATTATTCTGAGAAGGGGTCCATAATCTTTTTCCAAACTGATAAAGAGGTTCCTGTTGCACAAAAAGATTAAGAACTCCTGATATAAAGACATCATTATTTTAAAAGCTCTACCTTCAAGTTAGGGTAGCTCACTCCCCTGAGAGCGGGAGGTGATCTCTTAGATTCAATGGAACATAAGCTCCCTGAGGACAAGGACTACCTTATTTTTTTACTTTATAATCGTAACACCTAGCACAGCCCCTAGAGGACATAGTAGGGAACTGATAAATGCTTGTGGAATAATTTTGTCATCACACTGACACAACCCAACAGTAGGCTAGAGGACAGGGAAGATTGGAACATCAGGGAGCGTGGGATTTTCAGAATTATTACCTACAGAGGTACCTTCTACTCTCCATTGATATTTCTGTTGTGCAGTTGTGTTTGACTCTTCATGACCCCATAGATTATACAGTCCATGGGTGTTTCTTGGCAAAGATATGAGAGTGGTTTGTCATTTCTTTCTCAGTGGCTTATGGCAAAGAGAGGTTAAATTACTTGCCCAAGGTCACACAGCTATTAAGTATCTGAAGCTGAATTTGAATTCAGGTCTCCCTGACTCCAGGCCCACCTCTCTATCCACTGCACTACCTAGCTGCCTCCAAATTGGAGGGATTAGGGAGAGGCAAAGAGAATCATAGAAGCATGGCTTTTTGAGTTGGAAAGGGACCTTCAAACTCATCCAGTTCTATCCCTTCATTTTATAGATGTGGAAACTGAGGTCCAGTGACTAACTCACAGCCAAAAAGGTATTTAATAGTACATTCCAAACTCTCTGTGTTTTTGAAATTAAACCTCCTAGGAGCTGACATTGTCTTAAGGCCTAGGCTATTCGAATGCTACCGAAGACTTAGCTGTTTGTTTATATTTTCATCCTCTCCAGAGACAAAATGCTGAAGTAGAAACTTAGGTGAAGAGATTTTACAGTTAAAATTCTATTTAGAACCTCTATGAAAGAATGTGCTGTTAAATGTTTCCTTAGGTGCTTTTACTGCCTTTTTGATGTGATATGTTTATGTTGGGTGTTTATCTCCCAGAGATCAATATGGAAAAAGTTACGAGAGAAAAAACCTAGCAAAGCACAAATGGAATCGATTTATGAGAGAAACCCAGCACTAACAGGTGCATTAAATTATTTCATTGCAATGACAAACCGAGAGCCAAATAAGTTAATGGCTTAGAATGGATATTTAAAGTTATAAGTATTAATAAAGTCAGACTCTCCCACATTCCAGGTAACCAAGAATGGGGTGGTCATAAACTATAATTCAAGTTATTCCAGTTTCTGAGGGTTTGTGACTTGGAAAATGGACAGCTGGACTATAAAAATAATAACCTGGCAATATTACAAGAAAGTAATGGACTCCAGTACAGCTGATGGAATACTATCTATAGAAAATAAGTTTCAGATATGTACCATTGAAAATACAGGCTGTCCCAAAGTCTTAGTGCAGTTTTAAGTTATTAAAGTTTGAAACTGTACTAAGACTTTGGTGAATACCTGTATCTGGCTGGTTAGTCTGTCCCTGTGAAACATTAAGCTATGAAATTCAAGCTTATTAAAAAATTATATATGCATGCATACACATTTACATTATATATGATTGATCCTCATTGTGAATTTGCCTGCTCACTAAAATTTACTTGTAACCCCAAAATCAATACTTAGGTTGCTTTTGTGGTCATTCACTGGCATGCTGAGGACAGGTACAGAATGACAGAAAATTTGAGTCACCTAGACATGTTATCAGTGGAGGTAGAACATGGTGACTGGATGGCTGTTTATCTTCTTGGTTTAGCTTTCATACTGTAAACTTTCCTTTTACGAAGTCTATTTAATGCTACTTGGTTTTTTTTTTTGCATTTTTGTGCTTTTTGTTGGTGATTTTGCTATTTAAAATGGCCCCAAGCATAGTGCTGAAGTGCTGTCTAGTTTTCTAAGCCTAAGAAGGCTGTGATGTGACTTACAGAGAAAATACATGTGTTGGAAAAGCTTCATTCAGATGTGAATTATGATACCATTGGCCTTGATTTCAACGTTGATGAATCAATAATGCGTACATCCAGAAAAAGAATGAGGAAATTCATCAATCTGTATGTGAGGCTGCTCCGGAAAATGCTAAAGTAAATGTGATGACCAGAGATTTGTAGGAACCTAACCCTGTATTTCTCCTAAGTGCAATGAGGTAAGTATTTGCTATTTCAGTGCTTGACTACAGTCAATGATGAGAATCAGCTGTAAGTAGATAGATCAGCAATTGATTCTAGTCATTCATGAGAATTGTATGTGTGTGTGTGTGTGTGTATATATATATATATATATATATATATATATATGTCACATATATCTATATAATAGACATACATGCACATACATACAGATATATTGTTGTTGTTATTGAGTCATTTCAGTTGTGTCTGACTTTTCATGACCCCATTTGGGGTTTTCTTGACAAAGATACTGGATTCCTAATTGCTCTGTCCCATCATCCTGAATTTGATATTACCAAGTGGAAGACCAAGATTTCATTTATTTATTTACTTATTTATTTATCAGTTTGTTCATTAGTTTTTTAAGATGGCAGTATTGACCAGGCTACTGTCCAGGAGAATCCAGGAGGAAACTTCATTTGGCAACAATACAGTTCCTTCTTTTCAAAGAGTTCCAACTCTGTTAACGAACATTAACCTATAGCCTTACAATACCAGAGAAAGAGAAGGAGAAAGGAAAGGGTAAACTAGGGATAGAATTGTTTTTTCTTATTTGATGAACATGAGATTCAGAAAGGGTCACTGAACTGCTCTCCAGAACAGAACTGAAGTCTTCTGCTCCTCTAACGTATTATTACCACTGATGTGACCCCACGCAGTTCTGTGAATGAAGGAAGCATGAAGTACCTCTTAACACCCAGGACTCTTTCTAGTAGAGATTGGAAGAGGGAACATTTGCAGAATTCCTGTCCTAGCTCCCGTTTTGTGCCTTTGACTTTGTTTGGTTCAATAGCCTCCAACCTCAAATGGATAAGGAGATTCTCCATTTTTAGAAACACAGACTTTCCAGAACAGAAATTACATCGAATCTGAGACCTGGAGGGCCTTAAGGGAGTTCTTTTTATTTTGTAGGTGAAGGAACTTAGATTTGATAACAGATCAGAGACTGAAAGGTTAGACTGGGCAAAGAGACTGGTTAAAAAAAGGTCTCTGAAGTCAGTGGTCAGGGCTAGCTTTCATTGTTTGCAGTGTTCCCAAGGTGACATGCTGTTATCCTGTTTATAACACACTATTAGTTAAGAGGCAAAGGGAAAAAAAGAATATCAGGCCCTCCCGGTCTTGCTCTTGACTTTCTGGACTTCAAAATCATGTCTCTACTGCTATTTTATCCCTTAGTACCTGGGGCCTCCTCACCTTGGAACATCCTATCACCCCTACATCTCCACCCCACCTTAAGCTCTTTTTGATGGGGGCTTCCCCCAAATAGAATATAAACACCTTGAAGGCAGAGATGGTCTTAGAAGCAAATACAAGCAAAAAACACAGTTGTAGCTCTAGCTCTTAGTATAGTGCCAGGCACATAGTAAGCACTTAATAAAAGCTTCGTGCCTTCCTTTGTTCCTAATAATATTGTCTTTGCTAATTATACTCACTCATTCGGATTCAAATTGAGTTACTTGACCATGCATGAAACTCAAATTACTCTGGCTTTCACAAATTGGCCAACAATAGGTCTCAGCTGAGCCCTACTTGGTCATTGTTTGGGCCTTGATGGGTCGAAGGCAGTGTAAATAGTAATTGTTTCTGTTTTGGCCAGAAACTCTGAGGGTCTTCCTCTCCCAGATTAATTTTTTTTTTTTACTGAATAAAAGAGGCCATTCTTTGCCTCATTTCTTACCTAGCCTTAATCACCTAATGGGCATTGCCTCAGACAAACTGAGACCTGGGAAAGACCTTAGCTTAAAAAGGCCAAGGCCTCCAGCTGCATCTGGGGCCATCTTGTGTTGTCCTAATCTATATCTTTCCACTACACCCAGATGGCTCCGGAGCAGAGAGTGAGGCTGGTGGCTTTGCACAGCCTTCGCCTCACTTAAATCCAATTCACTTTCAAGTCAAGACATCACCTTCTGAGAATGAAGGACAAACACCAACAGGCCCATGGAAGGTTGAGAAAGCTGTTGTTGAGAGTAGGAGTGGAGTTCATTGCTGAAAATACTTTGTAGAATATACAGGTGGGGAAGGCTGAATGTATGGGTTGGAATGTTGGGGTTGGGAGTCTGGAAGTACCTCATAGCAGTGGTGTCAAATTCAGTTAGAAAGGGGTGTGAGGGGTGTGGGAAGACACTAATCTAATCACACAAGGACATTGACTTAGAAAACAAGGTATTAACATTACCTATGTTTTATTATATTTTAATTTATTTTGTTAAATATTTCCCTGCATCTGGAACCAAATTAAAAGGTACATTTGAACCTGGAATCATTATAAAAATTACATCTGAACTTGGAATCAGATTAAAAATTATATTTTAACATGATTGGGGCACTCTAAAGTATTGGAGGCATGTTTGACATCTCTGCCTCAGAGGAGAAGGGACCTCTATCATTTTACAGATGATGCTGAAACCTGGACAAGTTAAATGAACTTAGATCTTTTGATTCCAATGGACCTACCACTGTACCACACTTTCCCAGTCAGCAGACCTTAGCACTTTTCTTCTGTTGAAGATACAGTGGGCTTGTTGAGACCAGTACTTTCTTCAAAACAGCTTCTGACTGAAGGGAAAACATTACTCTTCCAAGCTCCAACTGGCAGCTGGCCTGAGGCCTCTGTAACCACACTGAGTCCCTTTGCTCATGATGAGATAACATTAGCCTGGCTTGGGATTGTGCAAACCATAAGGAATTTTGACTCCCTTGGGTCCAAACCTCAGAATGAAATCAATTGCCCACTTGACCCTCTTAAAGTTTTTTCTTTTGAAGCTCATGTTGGGAACATTTTCTGCCCCTAAATGTATGGTAGCTTTGCAAGAGACCAATCACTTCCATAGTTTTGTCTCAACTTCACAATGCAGCTTTGGTTGCTGTGGACAAAACTTCCTGTTTCTGTTCTGCATGAGAAAAAGTACACATTGGTGTTCCCTCAAACAGCCCAACCACCCACCCAGGTCCTCAGTCTCAAGTTTGATGACGTACTCCTCTGCTTCACCTCAGCTACACACAAGGATGTTTACTCTGAGAGGCAGTGTCTAGCATCATGGATAAAGTGCTAGATTTGGAGTCAGATAGAACTGAATTTGAATCTTGCCTCTGACATTTAACTAGCTGTGTGACTCTGAGCAAATCACTTAACCATTCTGGGTGACAGGTCCTTCTCTATAAAACGAGGTATTCAGACTAGAAGACCTCTGAGGTAATGTCCAGCTCTAAATCTATGATCCCATGATCTTCCCATTACCCATATATTCTATTTCCATGATGAAGAATTTTGAATATTCCTATATCCAAGACATAATCTATCATTCTATCTTTCTCTAGGCCTCACTCCTCCTAAACATGTTCTTCATCCACGTTGAGACTTTGAATCCCACTACTCCTCAGGACTTTCCCAGGCCAAAACAACTTCCCTTTCTAATTTTGATCCAAACTCTTCACTATTTTCTATTTTCTAATCCCTTGCTCCCTTGTCCTATTGTTACTCAGGCCTTGACAAATGCCAACCTTGGGTTCCTTCTGTCATCGGTTACTCCATCCCACTGTTCCTTCTAATGCTCTGCAATAGAGTGGAAGAAAGCCATGGAACCATGCTTACTTGGTCTATTACAATGTATGTTACTTAATCTCAACTGGGCTGTCATGGCAACAAGGTCATTGATTAACTATAGCCTAATTAATTCTCTATTCCACTTCCCCATAGCTATTGTTCTAAACCTTCTCTTCTCTCTTCAAGCCTCTGGCACCCCCTCCCCTACTCATAGCTGAGGATTTCACATCATATTTTATTAACGCCTTGATCCCATCCCCTCTTTTCTTCAGCAGATTATATCATCATCATCATTTCTGTGTATCTCTCTCTCTCTCTCTCTCTCTCTCTCTCTCTCTCTCTCTCTCTCTCTCTCTCTCTCTCTCTCTCTTTCCCAAGCCCCTTGTGACTAGACCATCACTGGACCCCACCATTCCCTCCAGTTATCATCCTATATTTGCCCTCCCTTTCTCAGCCAAATGCTAGAAATCTCCTAAGCTCATTACTTCCATTTCTTCTTCTTTCACTTACTTCTCAACCATTTGCAATCTGACTTCTGACCATATTACTTAACTGAAATTGCTTTCTCTAAAGATTACAGTGATATCTTAATAATTAAGATTTAATTGCCAAATCTGATAGCCTTTTCTCAGTTCACATCCTTCTTGACTTTTCTGCAGTATTTGCCACTTTTCACTACTTTTTCCTTCTGAATTTTTTCTTCTCTCTGGGCTTTCATGACACAGTTCTCTCTCTTGGGCCTCCCATCTGTGTGGCCACTCCTCAGTCTCATTTGTTGGATTATCATCCATATAGCCCCCCAACTTTGGATGCTCCCCAAGATTCTGTTTGGTACCCTTTTCTCTTCTTTCTCTACACATTTTCTCTTTGTAATACCATCAGCTCCCAGGTGTTCAATGACTTCCTCCATGCAGATGACTCACAGATGTACACATTTAGTTCTAGTCTCACATCTGAGCCCCAGTTTCTCTTTACAAACTGCTTATTAGACATTTTCCATTAAATGTCTCTTAGGCATTTATCATTCAACATGTCCAGAACATAAGTTATTATCTTTTCCTCCCAACCCAACCCTTCTTACAAACTTCCTTACTTCTAGCAAGGGCACCATCCTTCCAGGTACCAGGGTCATAACCTCCCCATTATTCTTGACTCCTTGTTCTCTCTTCCCCAGCATACCCAATCGGTTGCCAAATACCTTTACTTCCATAGTGTCCTTCTCATCTAACCCTTTCCCTCTACCCACTCAGTCACTCCCCTAGTTCAGTACCGCATCATCTCCTGTCTGGACTGCTACAATAGCCTCCAATTTCATCTTTCTGCCTCCACTCTCGTACCTACTTTAGTCCATCTTCTATTCATCTGCCAAAGTGATTTCCCCAAAACTCAGGTCTGACTATGCCATTCTCTTACTTAGTAAACTCCAGTGATTCTTTATAGCCTCTACAATCAAGTATAAATGTCTCTGTTTGAGATTTTAAGCACTTTACAACCTAGATCCTTCCTACCTTTTGTGTGTGTGTGTGTGTGTGTGTGTGTGTGTGTGTGTGTGTGTGTGTGTGAGGCAATTGGGGTTGGACTTGCCCAGGGTCACACAGCTAGTGAGTGTTATATGTCTGAGGCCAGATTAGAACTCAGGTCCTCCTGGCTCCAGGGCTGGTGCTCTATCCACTGTGCTACCTAGCTGCCCCTCCTTCCTATCTTTTTAACTTTATAATGTATTACTGCCCCTCAGACACACTACACTCCAGCCAAACTGTCTCACTTGTTATTTTTCATACACAGAACTTCATCTTCCACCTCTGGATGAAACTTTTGAAAAGAAGAGATGGAAGAATTCACTCTAGGCATGGATAGTCTGCACAAATGCAAAGAGGCAAGAGATAGCATGTTGAGTTTGGGGAATTGCAGTCAAAACAGGCACCCCAAGTTTCTACAGTCCTCTAAATGAGCCATGAGGTAGCTGTAGAAACATACAGATTCCACTTCACTGGCATCTGAGATGCTCGTAAACAAGTAGTGATTCCTGTCTAGACGGCTAGTTGGTATAGTAGATAGACCACTGGTCCTGGATTCAGGAAGATATAAGTTCAAATCTGGCCTCAGTCACTTAACCTCTGTCTGACTGAGTTTCCTCAACTACATAGCGGGGATAATAATGACATCTACCTAACAGGATTGTTATGAGAATCAAGTGAGATAATATTTATAAAACACTTAGCATAGTGTCTAGTACACAGTAGGCACTTAATAAATGCTTTTTCCTTCCTTTCCTTTCTATCACTCAGGCTGCAGCACAAGTGATGGTAACTAAGGCTGGTGACATGAACATTTGAGTCAGAAGAGTTTCTTGCTTTTAGGGTCCAGGGATTGCATAGAATGTATAGTCCAAACCTATGTTACATGTGAGTGATATTTTTTAAAATTATTTTTTATCTAATATGATTAAATCCTTTGTAAATGTAGGCTGACCCTTAGCCAAGAACTGGAAACAAAGTAGATGCTAATCAGTTGGAGAATGCTAAAAAAAAAACTGTGGCAGATAAAATATTGTTGTACTATAATAAACAGTCAAAAATTAAAATAAAAAACCAATCAATACGAAAAATTTAGAGAAGCCTGAGATGAACTATATGAACTGATGCAGAGTAAAGCAGAATGAGGGAAACAATGTATGCAGTAACTATAACAATGTAAATAAGATGAACAAAAATCCGGAGAAGAGATGTGAAAATTCACTTCTCCTTCTTTCCAGAGATAGGGGACTATGGATGTGAAATATTGTGTATACTATCAGTCTTGGTTGATTCATTAGTTAGTTTTCTTGAAGAGTTTTGCTTTGCTCTCTGCCACCCCCACCCTTTTCTTACTCTTTGAATCAGAGTCAGGGAAAGGAGAAAGATATATTTGGAAATAAAGGTGCTATAAAAGCAAGAGTTATCAATGCAACTTTTAAAAAATAATTAGTGACCCTGTGAAAGAGGTGCATCAATGAGGCATACTTCGGGGTAATAACCAAATAGAGTTGCTGATGGTTGGAGGGGTAATGAGAGGACTAGTCAGTCAGTCAATAAGCATTTATTAAGTCTGCTATGTGCCCAGCATTGTGCTAAGTACTGGGGTTACAAAGAGAGACAAAAGACAGCAGCCTACAGTCTAATGGAGGTGACAACATACAACCAACCATGTACAAACAGGCTATATACAAGATAAACAGGAAATAATCTACAGAGGGAGAGTACTAGAATTAAGATGGATGGGAAAAGGCTTCCTGTAGAAAGTGTGATTTGAATCAAATCTTGAAGAAAATCAGGGAAGCTAGCAGATGGAAAAGAGGAAGGAGAATATTTCAGACATGGTCAACAGCAAGTGAAAATGGTAACAGCTGAGACAAGTGAGCCAATTGATGGAAGCACAATATTAAGGAAAAATCCACACAAAGCAGAGCTAAGGAGTGATTGGTAACCATTAACCAGAGATCCTGACAAGAAGGGATAAAAAAGAGCAGCAAATGTCCATGGTGACCTCTGGTAGTGGGGTTATAGTTGCATCATGCTTTTCTGTAAATTCCAATGGCAAATAACTATGTGCCAATTGATTCAAAGTAAAAGCAGGCTCCATTTCAAATCACGTGATGATATAGTGTATCAAAGACATGAAGTATATCTGCTTTTGCCTAGTCTCTTCATGGCTTTATTATGACTTGGAGTCTAAATAAATGGACTGGAACCCTGGCTCTATCATACCCAATATGTATAACCTTGGGAAAGTCACTTGAGGAAACTGAGGCTATTTCACCCTGTTAAATGGAGATAACAACCCTTGCCATACAAACTAACTCTAACAAATTTATGTAAGGATCCTGAGAGATGGTAAAATCTGAAAGTGCTTTGTAAACTGTTAAAGTGGCCTTCAAGTCTATTGTTTATCTAATGTCTGCTGGGTCATTAATTTTAATCTGATTATTGAGAAAATAGATTTATTTTTATTTAGTCATTCCACATTTTCCAGGATTGTTTTTATTCTGGTTGTATCATGGATGTAGATGGTCTTTTGCCCCTTTTTTCAAGTGCATTGTTTTGGAAGAATTTTTACCCCCTGAGACTTGCTTCATAGGATGCAACTTCTGTGTGGCCCCTTCAGGGTCTTTCTTGTGCTTACACTCAGCATATCCAAGCTCACTTAGCTTTTTGTCTGGAACTGTTTTGACTGTATAGCAATTGTAATCTGTGAACTATGGCTATTCCAGTTTCTTGATTCAAGTTTTTTTTTTTTCCCAGATGATTTTCATGTCAAACTATAAATGACTTTTATTACCTTCCCAACCGCACCTTACAAAAAATTTCACAAATGAAAACATCAAATGCTCATAGAAGCCAATGCATCTACTTTATGGAGACAAAAATTCAGGAAAAATTGGTGAGTGAAGAAAGCAGTTCACATTAAAACTAAATGAATCTAAATTGAAAGAATCAATAATACTTCTGTCTTTTATCAGCCATAGCAATAGAAATCCTTGACTACTCACTAAGATAAGTGTGATATAAGTAAATGATTGAATCAAAATATTAGTTAATTTTAATTCTGTTCTTTTTTATTGGTGTTAGTACAGTATGGCACAAGGAAAAATGTGACAGAATTCCCAAAATGAATGAGACCTCAGGTTGGTAGTATAGAACTGGAAGATGGAAGTCCTGTTTCTGTCACTAATTAGCTGAATTACTACAGAAAAATGACAATCTTACCTAGACTCAGCCTGTTACCTCATTTTATATAATCATAAGTTTAGATCTAAAAATAATCTTAGAAAAAAATAAATAAAAATAATCTTAGACATCTGTTCCAAAGGTCTCAAAAGTGGGGTCCAGGACCCTCTCAAGGGCCATGGCATGCCCTTTAGGAATATATGGGAAGAGGGTGGGAATATGAGTTGCATTCAACTTTTCTACAATAGCCAGTCTTTGGTCTTGTCTCCAATGCAACCACACCCACCCTTCCCCTATTACAATCCAATATTCTCTCACTCCACCCCTTTCCTCACTGTGCAAGGTTTCAACCTTCCCCCTTCTAAGCTAGGAAAATCAGTACCTCATTATGGTTATATTATAATCTCAATTTGGTACCCGTAGCAACAGCTACATAGAGATCTAACCCCCCTCTTTCCCCATCAAGGAAAAAAAATTATTGATAGGAAGATACAATTAAAAAAATTAGAGACCTAGTCCAGTGCCTTTATTTTACAGATGAAGAAACCGAGGTATAGAGAGGTGATATGATTTGCTTAAAGTCACAGTCAGAGCTTCTGATTTGAAATCTAGTATTCTGTCCACTATCATTCTGCCTTACTTGTAAAATGAGGGAATTGTATTGGATGATTTCTCTGGTCCCTTCCAATTCTAATATGTTTTTTTTTCCCCTTTGATGTTTTGCCTAGAGTGAAGTATAGGACTATATACTTGAGAATTTGCATTGAGTGAGTCATTGTTTGCATCTCCAGGTCTCCCCTGCTTTGCCTAGGGAACAGATGACAGGAAAGGTTAGAAAGTGTTGACGTGGTGGCCAAAAGGGTGAAGGCCTTTCCCAGGACTGGGGTAAAGATCCTGGTTTTTTTGGTAGCTGCCACGAGTTAAGTCCCACATGGAGGGCAGGCACAGCACTCCTTCTTTTGCTCCTAATGTCACCATTGCCTCCTGGATGCTCTTATGTCTCTTTTGAAAATCCCAGATATTTCTCAGTCTCTTCCTCCCCACTCTCAGTGGATGAGGAGTGTGTTTTATGCGCTGGATTAGTTAATACGATCTTCTCTTTCAGAACAGAAGTGCTTGCTGCATTTCGTCCCAGTTCCCATGGGGCCATCTCCAGTCGTCTTGATCCATATCTTGCCACTGGACCCCAATGGCTCCAGAGGAGAAAGTGAGGCTGGTGACCTTGCACAGCCCTGCCTCACTTAAATCCAATCCACCTGCCAGTCAAGGCATCACCTCCCTGATGTCATGGTCCTCTTCAATAATGAAGGACAAGCAGCAGCAGCATCAGCAACAACAACAACTCAGTTCCCATCATGTGCCATGCTTCAGATTGTTTAGTCTCCAGTAATCAATAGGCTGCTCTCTTATGACACAAGGCAGGGTGTGCAGAGGGCATGCCCAATTTAGGGTCAAAGGAAAGTGTTGGAAAAGAACATACCATCTTCTTCCTCTGCCCTGATCTTCATTTATTACTAACTTCTGAGTTTCCTGACTAAGGTCAGAGGTGAGGGAAGGGAGAAGGAAGAGGAAGGGGAGGAAGGATAAGGGAAAGAAGGAGAGAAAGAGGAGAAAGGGAGAGAAGAAGGAGATCATTAGGCAAGGTCACCTTGAAGACCTGGGATGAGAGAGGGAAGGAATCCAGACTGAGCCACTAGAAAAATAAACATAGGAAAAGCAGCTTGATTAGATCAAATATGCGTGAACAAAGTCTGTGCTGGAGGCGAAGTCACTGAGGGACTAGTTTTCGAAATATCTGGAAGAGAATATACCAAATAATTAGGCTAAAATAATCCCAGTATTACTACTGACAGAACTCAGTGGAAAGTACCTTAGTTACTAATGACCTATGTAATTTCATACCTCTACTAAATCTTTGATTTATAAATGTATCTTTAATGAAAACGTGAGAAGGTCCCAATAGATAAGTAGTCAAATGATATGAACAAATAATTCTCATAAAAAGAATTTCAAACAATTAACAACTATATGAAAGATTGTTCCAAATCACAAATAATAGAAGAAAATTATCAAAGATAGTCAGTGTCGTAGGGGTTGTGAAAAGATAGGCACAGTGATACATTTATTGGTGGAACTGTGAATTGATTTAACCAGGGGTGGGGAACCTGCAGCCTCGAGGCCACATGTGGCTCTCTAGGTCCTTAAGTGTGGCCCTTTGGCTGAATCCAGACTTCACAGAACAAATCCCTTTATTAAAGGGACTCTAACCATTCTGTAAAGTTATTTGGGATTATGCGTGAAAAATGACTACGAAGTCCACATGTTTTGACATAGATGAGCCACCACCACTGCCTAGATACCCTCAAGGAGATCAAAGACAGAAATAGGTCTAACATTTAACAAGAGTCATTGCAGTACTTTCTTTGTGTGATAATGAATATTTAGGTACCCATTGTGTGGGGGATGACTAAAAAAATTATGGCACATGAATGTAATGTAATAATCTTGTACTATAAGAAACAATGAATATGAGTGATTCAGAGAAAGATGTGAAGTCTTATAGAAACTGCCTGGACTACTTACTGTCCATCTCTGCCTCTTAGAATCCCAAATTTCTTTCAAAGTTCAGCTCAACTGCCATCTTTTACATAAAGCCTTTTTTTGTTGTTCAGTTGTTTTTTCAGTCATGTCCAACTCATCATGACCCCATTTGAGATTCTCCTGGTAAAGATACCTCTCTAGCTGATTTTACAGATGAGGAAATTGAGGCAAACCAGTGTGACTTGCCCAGGGTCACACAACTGGTAAGTGTGTGAAGCCAGGTTTGAACTCGTGAAGATGAGTTTACATGACTCCAGGCCCAGCACTCTATCCACAGAGCTACCTAGGTGCCCCCTCTTCAGTTGTTAATGCTTGCCATCCTCCTCAAAATTACATTGTACTTATTTCATACTCATTTTGTATATATTTATATAACATTACGATTATGTATGTTACATACATTTTGTGTATATATTGTTTCCCCCAATTGAATATAAGTTCCCTGAGGACAGGGGCTATTTTATTCCTATCTTTGAATCTTAAACTCCAGCATAGTTGCTTGGACATAGTATGTGCCAAATAAATACTTGCTAGATAAGGTCTGTCAGATGCAGTTGGTATATTAATTAGGTTTACTGAACTTTTCTTTCTTTTTCCTTCACAATCTTAGTCATTAGAGAAGACTTATTAGGGGAGTAGAGAGGGACACACACACATACCTATACCTATACATATATATATAGTATATATTAATATGATAAAAAGTTATCCATGCAAACTCTTAATTAAAAATGAAAAGGCTTTCACAAACAATATTCTACAGCATATACTTCACAGTCATACAATTGGCAGGTATAGAGAATATAAGATTTCATTGTGTTAGTAAACTGTTAAATAAAACCTAAGTTCATAGAGCAAATGTTACCTTTCAGGCTGTCCTCCAACAAAGTGTCTCCCATGTATATGTTTAAATCCTACAAATCTCTCAATAGAAGCAACAGCAGAAGACTGTGTTCAATGATGTTCTGATTATTAACATGAAATGAGGCATGAAAAGGGGAGACACCTTGGGCAAAGGTGTTTGGTATTGTCATGGAAGATAACCTGTGAAGAATCCAAATGAAAGAGAGTCTTTATAGCTGGTGATATTCATCTGATTATTTGTAATTCTACTGATTGCATCAAGTCCCAGAACATAGTAAAGCCTCTAAATGAAATCTATAATTATTCAAAAGAATTCACTCTAAAACTCTCCACATAGGAACAAACAGGTAGATGAAGAGTTACCTGTTGCCTAAACCAGAGGTGGGCAGGTAGGTGGTGCAGTGGTAGAGTGCTGAGTCTTGAGTCAGGAAGACTCGTGTTTCTGAGTTCAAATCTGGCCTCAGATACTTATTAGCTGTATGATCCTAGACAAGTCACTTAACCCTGTTTGTCTCAGTTCCTCATCTGTAAAAAAATGATCTGCAGAAGGAATCGGCATACCACTCCGGTATATATAGCTTTGTCAAGAAAACCCCAAATGGTATTGCAAAGAGTTGGATATAACTGAAATGACTGAACAACAGCAACAGTGAATCAGAAGTGTCAAAGTTACCCAAGGGTGCCAGAACCATATTAAAATGTAATTGGGAAACGTTTCACAAAATAAATAAAAAATACAATACAACACAGATATTGTTAATCTGTGTTTTCCTCAATCAATATGCCAAGAGCAGGATCTATTTCTATTTGAGGCTGACACTGGCCTAAACTATGATAATCCGTTGGATGATAACATATAGAATTGGTGTGGTCATTCCAGGAGTAGTACTTTGGACAGGTACTGTGACTAGCCAAGGTACTGTGACTAGCCAATAAGCTGTGTTTAGAATTGAACAAGAAGAGAAGAATGTTTTGGATTGCCTTTAGGAAATTGTTTAACACTTTCAATAATCCTAAACTGGTACCCGAAATAAAACCTCATCATTTTAATAGTAATATGCTTTTTGTGAAACTTTATTTCTGCACGTCATGTAATTTCTGCACAGTATGAAGAATTAAAACTGCTTATTACACAAAGAGTAAAGAAGAGATGCACAGAATAAGTGTTCTCTACCGTATTGGTGATTGGGAGAACACAACCTCAGGGCTACCCTTCCTGTTTTTTGGACACAACGGCTTCTGATTTCCCCCTTGAGCCCCAGATTGATCCATCATGGTATGAAAGGTCAGAGTCACAGCTGGAACCTTCCCACAGGCAGAAGTGAATGGTTGAGAGGGGAGCCAGAACCCAGAAAGAAAGGGACTAACATGCTCAATGTTCAAAAGCTAAAGATGACAAAGCCAGCAGGGTATTAGAATTCTGACTTGGCCATTAATATCATCTTCTTTCTTTTTCTGCTCTTCAACTCAACTTCAGCACCACATGCCTGCATCTTCTGTTCTTCGGTCCTGCCAATCATTCAGAGTCTGACCAGAAATGTCCCAGTGATGGCAATCACAACCATGAGAAATGCCGCCTCCGTACACACACTGCCTTTATAGCTGTCAATAAAAACATTGTGTGCATTTATAAGTTAGCAATTACTTCAGGGCATTACTCTTAAAGAGTGTTTGTGCCACTTTTGGGGTAGGGGGTAGGAGAAAGGGGAGGAAAAAGAAAATGTTACCCTTTAAGTTGAAAATAGCTATGTATTCAAGAGATGATGAAAGATGCTGCTCAACAGCTGTACTCTACAACGGTCCATTTCTTTTTGTACTTAGGTTCACCCTAGAGAAGGCATAGACTTTCATTTATATATTCCTTCTTAGGAAAACCCCACCCAATCAATACAACTTGGCTTAGAAATGAACCAGGAACTTGTCAGCATGCTATGCTACACTAACAGAATCAAGCCAGATGAATTAAAGAATAAGAAATTCATTTAAATCAGAGCAAAAATAATGCCAGACAGCTTACAGACAGGAAGCTAGAGAAAATTAATAAATTATTTTTGGGAAAATTATATCTTAGCTTAGCTCAGGGATCATTAGCTAGAGGCAAAAGAAGTGTGAATCCCTCTCCCTCTCCACCCCTCCCTTAACCCCCATTCCTTGAAGAAAGTATCCCAGGCCTTTTGTATCATGGGCATTTCTGGCAGAAGTTTTACAGGATCCTAGAATGATAGAGCTAGAATTTCCTCAAAGGTCATTTAATTCAACTATCTTATTTTACAAATGGAGGTCCGTAGAGAGGAGGTGTCACGTTCAAAATTTCACGGTATTATTTAGTTAGGTAGGTAATAAAGAGACAAATGATTAGCAAGGGCTTAATCAAAAGAGAACAAAATGACTAGAGAGAATTAGAGATGGTTTTTGTTTCCAGAGATAACTTTTGTTGTCAATTTAATTTTAGTTTTGCTGAAACAGAATATCTTCAAGATACAGAAATAAATCAATTTTGTAGGTGTGATATTATCATAATCCATTAATACGAATGAGTATGAAAGTGCTCAGGGGAAAAAAAGACTAGTCAAAGTGAGTCTGGGACATTCAAGTCTGAAAGACTCAACCCAAACAAATATGATTTAAAAAAATCCTCAACATTTTATGGGCTCTTGTCACTTTTAGAACCCAATTGAATGCCTAAATTTCTGACTTTTAAAACTGATACAAATGTTCTACTCTTTGGACCTTAGTGAC